ATTATTAGGGGGGTGGGGGGGTTATTATTAGGGGGAGGGATGGGGAGGGGATTACTTGTTGCGCCGGTATGTGCAGGGGCTTAGGGGTCCTGACGCGGAAGCGGCTTGAGATTGCTTTGCTCAAGTTGGGGGTTCTGTGACCAGAAATTACACTCTTCTCAAGTCCAGTCCAGGAACAAGAAGCTCATACTTCTTGACAAGGATTCTGGAAGCAGACGAATTGCGGCCTCGAAGGCGTTCAATCACACATCTTGCCGCACAAGCTGCTGCCACAGTTGCAGTGACTTTTGTTAGCGAACACTGCTACAGCACCAGCACATCCACCATCTAGCATCGCTAGCAGCAGTAGCGGCAGCTGGCCAACGTCACCATTGCATACAATGACAACCACTTCCGCTGCTACAGCTCGACGACGACAGCAACAACGCCTTGCTTCCTCGCTCCTCCCTATCCTCCTGCTCCTGGCAATTGCAATGATGCTGGCATGTGGCTTAAGCTGCTCAACAGCTCGAATGAACAGCGTTGGATGCAATATTCTGCCGCATAGGTGTGCACCTAGCTGATAAGATCTGATAAGCCGCCCCGTCTTCCTTGTGCACAGCTCGGGGTATCTATGTCAAAGCAAAACCCATTGCTTTGTATGCCAACAATGTCTGCGTTAAGAAAGAATTCCAAGTGCCGCTTGGAAAGATGCACACAACATACTTGGGATGTCGGTGCACAACGCACGTCTGCGAATCAAAACCCCAACGTGTCATGATTTACATGGTGACTCCATCCCGTCACGTTCACTTTTGTTGTGCCCCGCATTTCTTCACAAGAATTCTATGGTGCTCGCAAGTGCCTGCTGCCCTGACGTCACTGAAGCCGGACTCACTTCAGACGTCATCAATCTTGACCAATCTCTGTCCAGGCACAGTGTTCGACTTTATGGCCTCGAGCGCAAGTGCTTCCTGCGACCCACGCGTTTGCACGCTACGGGACAGCCCTTCCCTGTTCACACTTTTGGTGGGCACCTCCATGTGAGTGCCTTGCGACCGCTTCTTAGAGGCTTTATGCTGCAAGTCTGTATCTTTTGCGCATTGACTTGCCGTGCACAGATTGGATTGAGTGCGGGCAGGGTCCTGCTTGAGCAGCTCGCCGTCCGCAAATTCAAGAGCCAAACCGTCCTGCACAATAACAAGCACAGCGACGTATCCAGGAATCTTCCGCGGAACGGCATCCAAGACCACAGAATTTTGGTCCTTCTGCACCGCCTGCCGAACCTTCAGATGGCAAAGCTGAACGCTCAGAAAACAGCATCAAGTCCATGTCATGAGACGTCCCTTCCCAGGATCCCGGGGACACACGTGAGACAAGTTGCCACATCGCCATCGGCACCTGAACCCGGCTTCACAGCAGGGAACGGATGATACTTTCTGCAGCGGAGATTCAGACTTCGGCTTTCAATGTAGCACCGACCATGCGATGAAAGATCGCATGCATGTTTCGGCTGTTTCTACCACATGATAAAAAGCAGCTTGGATCACCGAAGCACTTCAAGTAATTAGTAAGCAATTGAATTTGCATCTACACCCTGCTTGAATTGCAAACTGTTTGGTCCACCTTGCTTGCTGGTGAGGGGATCCTGCTCTGCACATTGAACCAAGTTGGCCAAGCCACGAAGCTCCGGTGAGGCAAATTCCAGAGCCAATCCACATCTCTGAATTGCGCAGGTAACCACCTGAAAGTGCTCCAAGTGCCAGAGCTAGAAGTTTTCACATATTATCTCGCCAGTCCTGTCCTGCCTGGCTAGCCCTCCTAGCATGCATGCCGCTTCTCATCACAACATAGCACAATCTGCAATGCATTGCCGTTGCACTTTCATGTAATTCGCTGAGGGAACTTGCGACAAAGTGATGGCTCACACCGGCCTGGGGAATTCCTTGCTCCATATCATGTATCATGTGCTGAGGCTTGCTAAATTCAGAAGGATGGCTGAAGATTCGATGGCCTGACACTGCTTAGGCTTACAGGCACTCCCGCTCCCATGCAGGGAAGCCTTCTCTATTGCAAAAGCGCCTCGCGATCTGCTTGCAAGTCGGACGGGAGGAAGCGAAGCGCTGACGCGTTTATGAAGAGCAGCTGCTTGGCAAAGGCCTTGACACACACCAAACGAACCCGCAGCACGCTTATCCAAGCAGGGCCCAGCGCCTTGTCACTCAGCAAATGCTGCGGACCTGGAACCAGCCAATTATGCATGCCAACACAAGCAAGTATGACCATATATCTTTTGTTAAGGCTGGCGCAGTGCCGCAATGTGTAGAAATTCCTGAGCGGCCAGAGGGTTGGCAAGACATGACCCGCAATGAAACAGGCAGTCGACGTAAAGCACTCAACTATTGATTTAACACACTGCGCGTTTCATTTGCAGAGAAGTTACTGCTGCGCAGCTTTGAGCCAGATGTGTGGATCTTGTACTAGCTCTTCGGGCAGGTACTCCTAAGATGTTCCGCTTCAATCAGTTGCCTCAATTGTCTCTGTGGGTATGTCTTGGCCTGCAATTAGCCATCAAGACTCTGCTGCATATGCATTCAGCTCCACCGCCTTGAGCATAAGCTCCTTCCAAATCTCACTCATCCTGCAAAAGCCTGAGCCTCGCCAATCTGTGCTGGTATTGACATTGAGAAGCTCCTTCTCAGCCAGAAGTTCAGGTGGGCATGGACCTAACACTAATCGACCTCAGCACAGGGTAATGCGCACAGTGTTCGCCCAAACCCGTGCTGTCAACAATGAGATGCAAAGTGCACGGCAACTTTCGCCACCTTTCAGGCGCTGCAGCCTGAGCCATCGAGGTGAAACAGTTTCAAGCGAAAAAACATGCTGTATGTGACCGACGGTTGTCCCAGCGTTTCCCTACGAATCCCGCGATAGAAAAGAAGGCTCTGTCTTCATTTCTTACGCAACGCTTGCGCATTGGACTTTGGTGAGCGTCGCATCGTTTTCCGCGCTTTGGTGCTGAGCCATCATTGCGATTCTCCTATCAGAGCTACAGTACTGGAACAGCCGTCTCGGCCACTGGCTGCAACTTATGGTAATCGGCAAGCGTGCTGTATAGAAAATTTCTGGCAACTGGCTGGATCTTCCTTGGGTAGCGCTCCGTTAACAGTCAGATTTTGCCGAATGCTATGCCTATCATGTTGATGAGTAACCTGTTGTTCTCCATTTCAGAGCGCCACCCTTTTCGACATGTTATACCGGTCCAAATGTAATCCTCAACAATCACAAGCAAGGTCCTGCCTGCTCAGGCAAGCTGTCAAGCATCCTCATTAAAGGTATTACAAACCAAAATCTCTCTGCAAGGCTTTTCAAACTTGAGCTTGGCTTGCTCTTTGTGCCTACCACACGTTTCTTCGTGGCATGTGCATAACCATTCTCGAAGAGCTTCCGATCATAAATTCTTCCATCCCAATGGCCAACGCCTAACATCGGGCCCAGGTACACCCACCTGAAATCCACCACTCTGCCCGGAACTGACCAATGAGGACAGAATCCATGCATTGCTCAAAACCTGCTGGGTCTGAGTGCTCTGCAGATTGGCGCGCAAGGTGGTGAAATCAGCTTCCGCTTCCATGGCTAAAGGCTCAACACTGGCTCAACATGCAAAGCTTCACACGCTGGGACCTTGGAAGTCCGCGCCTGCGTGGAACAGCTGCGACGGCTACAAATGCCATGATAAAAGGTCCGCCTGCTGACTCGTGAAACTCTGAATTGTTTTGGAGTTGTTTTAATGCGCTGATCTTAGCACATGCCAACTACATGAACAGTTGGCCTTGTGAGTACGGGTAAGAGTCTATGGGGTCGTTGCATGGTCAAGCCCTGTTGATCACCTTTCGAATTGCTAGAGGTCTTGGTGTCATGACAGTGGGCAACGGATGACCATGGATTTGCTATTCTCATTTGAGCAGAGTCCAGTTTTCATCGAAACCTGGGTAATTCGCCCAGGTCCATCATAGAGCAGCTGACAACCCAAGCAAGTGACTGCCCACCAGTCGGGATCTCGCTTCTCTTTTTGCGCGAATCCAGATATTGAGCATTTGCCAGTCTCTGCCAAAGTTTTCGGCAAAAGGAGACAGGGCTTGTGAAAGGCTTCGGTGCTTGCTGCCTTTCAGCATTTTTAAATCACCAAGTTTTGAAGTCCACCAAAGGGAGCTGCTGCTGAAGAAGCTAGGCAAGCCAACAACACAAGCCGTGTCTGCCCAAAGCATGGGAGGGCATTAGCGGAAGCGACCATAGAGCTGCAGAGTTTTTGGCCCATTTTTGAAATCTCAGTAGATGCACTAGAACCATCTTCCCATTGGCCAGCATGAAGCGCTACACTGGTGACGAGGCCAAGCAACAATTCAGGTTGAAATGCAGGCTAAGTGACAGTCCGTTCAAAAGAAGCTAAGCTGTTTTTGCCAACCTTGTGATACCTGGTAGATCCAATGCGCCTGGGCTTTTGAGGAATTGTGGCCAAAGTGGCTCAGGCACCTCCACTGCTCGCTTGAGACAGGGATGCACCAAGAAACCTGACAACTTTGACTTTGGTTCACAAGCTGCTCTGGGTTAGGTTCGGGTTCGCATCTCTCGGTTTGTCGTGCCTGATTACACTTACAGAGCTCTCTGAGTTGAAGTTGCAAACAGCTTGTGGGAAATCTTTGTTGGCAGGAGGTGTCATGCTGCAAGAGGTTTATGCCAAGAAGCTCCTGCGATGAGGCAGCGAAGTCCTGCGATGCCTGGCAAGACCAGTGAAAGTCGAAACCCCCGCAGTTCTAGACTTATACGATAAGCAGCACTTACATAGGCAGCAGAGAGGTCTTCTCTTGCTAAGGCTACTTCGCAGCAATTGCTATAAAAATGCGACTTCTTGCGGAGAAATTCGCGGCCAGACTTCTGAACTGGGCCTGGACTGCCCGTTGCCAGGAAATGCGCCGCGGCCGCACGCGCCGCGCAGAACCCAAGGAGGCCACGGGCCTGCCACCGGTGGAATCTTTGGAAACACGTGTTCTCACAAAACCAGCAGAGCGTGGTTGCCGTAAGGGCGGCCAAAAGGAAGCCCAGTCCAGCATGCCGGGGACCTAGGCAACTGCAAATAGGGTATGTGCTGCACCTGGAATAGCAGTTGGCATCTGAGCTCAAGTGTCTGGATGTGCTGTCTGAAGTTCAAAGCCCATTTCTTGGTAATGTCAGTCTGTTAGGCTAGCATTTTCTTGACATCAATGGACTCGAGATGCGACTCGAATCAAAAAGGAGCTGACTCTTTCCCGACTCTGTGCAAGTCCTCGGGCAGGCTTGCCATTTCTTTAATGCCCTCCATGATTATTTATCATCAATACCACCGGCGTCAGGAGCCGGCAGTGAGCTCACGCTTGGACCTTTGCAAGCGTGCCATGTTCTGTAGCATCTCTCAGGCCTCAATGGACGCAGCCATGGCTTGACGGCCGCCTGGGTGTATGCCATCCAAATCGGCATGTAAACGTGAGACAAACGTAACATGCCTCCAAGCCACCCAAGAAACTGGCCAGTACTTCCTGGGCGCATGTTTCGGAAAATCGAGGCTTGACATACAGTAACGGACGGGTCCAAAAATGCAGCATCATGCCGCAAATGTCGGCAACAATCTGTGCACAGAAAGCATTCATCCTCAATTGTGCTGACTGAACCTTTGTTGTGATACATTTTGCTTTTTATAATGAGGGTGAGACACAACCAGTTCGCTGGCAGCGTGCGCCACTGGGCAGCGGACAGCTCCTGCAGTTCTTATTCCATTGTTGCTGCCGCCGCCGCACGAAGACAACGACCACCATGATGACTCTACTTTGGTTACTTACAGACTCACCATGATCAATAGCTACTGTTTCTTCATGAAGCAGTAGTTGCAAAAAATCCAGTACAAGTGTTGGAGTCACCCTGCTGGTGGTGCCTCTTAGGATTCTTTGGCAAGAATCCGAACCATGGAGATGTGTCATGAACCCCCAAGAAGCCTGCGGAGAACTTGGCCTCTTGAGTGGTTACTGCACTTGTCTAGATCCCAATACCTGGAGCAAAGGATATGTCTCCGGCCAATCCTTCTTGAAGCGGCATCCTTTCTTGGCAGAGCAAACCAGGAAGGGACCTGCCAGCTTTGACTTGGATGAGAAAGACCATGTCATGAAGTGTTTGACAAAGAATCCCAGTAAAGCTTCTATATTCTATATTGCATCGCATCAACTGAAAAACCCAAGCAGTGAAGTCTCCAAACGTCTGCTTGCCCCAGCCTCGGCTGCCCAACGCCGGCTGTAGTGCCAGTTGCCGACACCAAGGTGCCATGCAACGGCCCCAACGTGTCTCCTGTCTCACATCGAAGCCAGGAAAAGGAAGCGTAGAAATTGACAACAAAAACCCCGCCTTGAGCTCTCTCCTCACAGGCTCTCTTGGCTTTGGCGGCTTCTTTGGCTGCCTGCTGCAGGTTCTTATCTGACAGTTGTGATCGGGCTTCTTCGTAGTGCGAGCTTGAAGCCATTAAGGTGACTGGCGCGACCCTTCGGCCTTTCTAGGAGTAGCCGAGCCGAAGCTTTGGATATTTGGCTATAGGAGACCGGCCTGGCTGCCGGTGCCGGTCTTGCTTCGCAAGTTTCCTCTCCAAAAGGCTCATTGTTGTGCATGTGACGTACAGCTGCAGCATGCTGCGGTTCCAGCCGGCTTGGTTCCTCTTCTGGGAGGTCCATGTCGACTTCTGAAGAACTGATCACCTTGGTGACGATGCTTCTGGCTCATTTTCCGTGAACTTTTCCACAGCTTGCTTGTTTCGTCGGCTGTGAGTTGAAAAAGGCTTGGGATGTAAAGCTGGCAGTCAAGAGGCAAAGTGTACCAAGGCACGGATCTCCTCCGCATTTCGCTCAGCTGCGCTCCTCCATCTCTCAGCTGACTCAGCAGTGCCTGCAAGAAATCTCCAGGAGAGGACTGGACAATCACAAGAGTTCAAGCCGCTGCATCTTCCAGGAAGGCTTCTGAACTCTGATTGGTTACAACATGTCGCAGACCTTTCCAAACGGAGGAGCCTGCCAAGGACTCTGATTGCTTTGATCGTGGCTACCACATCTCGCAAGCCTGCTCTCGTAAACGTCTTGTAGTTGATGCTTTGTTGCGGTCTTCCTCTTTGTGATCGGCAAAGTTGAATCAGTGTCAGTTATGAGCTATAAGGATAGCAACGCCTACCCGTACCATCCCTTTGATCGTTGGCACTGAAATTGCGCCTCGACGAATGGGATCCAACTCGTTACTACCGAACCCCACCCCTAGCAAATCAAAATTGTGGTTGTATGGTGGCATGCGTTCGGAAAAAACACACATCGTCCACGAACGTGCCACTTGGCTGCCTGCAAGGTATTTAGTTGCCCAAGCAGGCACATCGACGGCAACTCCGCTGTCCGAGCCCCGCTCCAGGTCCTGTGCTCGAAATGCTGCTCAGGTCCATTCAATGCAATCACTTGCGTGCTTCCGGGTTGGGGCTGGAGCTGACAAACAAACAATTCATGGAGCACCTCCAGCTCGTACTGCAAAAGGCGGTGGTACGTCCTTGAGGCAATCCAGTCAGTTGCAAAACCAAAGTGCGTACCGCATACATGGCTCTTGATTTAGGCCTACCTTGCACACTACGCTATGTCAGTTCCAGCTTAGTTTCGGTAGAAGCTCGAACTCTCCGAGATCAACATCCTGAGGCTTCAAGTTGGCAGAAAGCGATGGTTGCCAGGCCAAGCTGGATTCCAACCAAGCCGCGGGAGGCCACAGCTCTCCTGCCGCTGGCAAGTACAGTTCGGCAGCGATGTATTCTAGTTTTCTCCCTATGGCTCGAAGGGTTTATGTCAACCTGCTGAACCTGCCTACTGGTGGCCTGGCCTGGCAGCAGTCTCTCGGGCTGAAGCTCTGCAGCCATGGCGGGCCGCAGTGGAATCCATGACCCTTTCTACGCAAACATTTTGTAATCTCAGGGATTGATATCAGCACAGCTTATAAAGATTTAGAACCATTGATAAAGAGCAGCATAGTACTTGGTCCTCCAACTTATAGTGCTTTTTTCAGCCTCCCCATCTAGGGTGCTGCAATTCAATTGTTGCGGCTGCAAGCGCTGCCTTAGCACCTGCTTTGAACCAGGGGGAGTTAAGCATTTGGTTGCATGCCCCAGGCTGCGTCGAGTTGTTGGGCTGGGCTTTGTGACTCTTGGCATGCGGCGCTCATGCGTGCATTTTCCGAAGCCCATCCTGGACTGTCACAAGCCGTCGCTATCTGAGCTTTTCTGAGCCACTTTGTGCTCGCCAACCCTTTCGTGACCTTGTCTCGGCTAGAGATGGCTTCCCTTGCTTGCACTGCAACCTCTCACAAGATCCCACAAACAAGCAACATGCCCAGGTGCTGGGTGCTGCGAACGCGCCTCTTCCAATCCTTGGCAGCACCGAAGATTCTCGAGTATCAGATTGCCCATCTTGCCCCAATCAAGACACAACTTGCAAGCCTGGTCAAACCGCTGTTTGAAACTGTCTTCACAAGGCCCTCGAATGCTGCTAGTAGGTGCTTCTTGTTCGACTGTCTTCCTTCGTGGACTCCCTTCACCCGGGATGTTAAGCTTCACGAAGCTGCGAAATCTCTATCGCAAGATCACAAAACGCCCTCTCAAGTTGGGGCCCCAGCGCTGAAATTGAGTCAAAGTTAGGGTGCTGAACGGTCACACTCAAGCATGTCAAAGAAGGAGTTCGGAGTTTCACCTCAACACTGCTTGAACTAGCAGAATTCGGCCGGTCTTTATGTTGTCTATCATGTCATCCTTCGCCATTCCAATCAGGTTCTCCCGATTGCAAGAGGTCACGAGCGACCCTAAGCCAATTTTACTCTCCGCTTAGCTACAGAATCTCTGACCGCATCCACTGCTGCTGAGAATCACATGGGCTGGAACAAACTGCTTGGCACAATCCGTCTCATGGGGATGCTTTGTGGGCACCTCCATGTGGCAGGCTTTGCTGAAGCTGCCAACAGCACTGGTTTGGTGAAAGCCTTGTCCTTTGCCGTGCTGGCCACCACATCGTATGCGCCATGCCCGTGGCTGGCCTGACAAAGATTCAGCATGACTTGTCCGGGCGTGAGCTGAAAGCACTACTGGCAGCAAGCCTCGGTGGAGCCCAGCCTCAGCTTGTCCGAAGTTGCAAGAGCACTACACGGACCTGCATCAAACTGAGGCTTCAGTTCTTCCGCGTTTGGGACGATCGTCTTTCAGAAATTCGCGTCTGAAGCGATCCTGGACAACAGAGTCTAAGCCCGGCACTTCTGCGCCAAAGCTGCTGCAACCACCAGCAGGCCGCCAATCCCCCTGGCTGGGGTGATCTGCCTCCTGCAGTCCCAATGCCGATATACAATCTCATGCAAGGACTACGGGCATCGTTTCTGGTGCCGTCGATGCCATTTGCCTCATGACTCACAAGTGCCACTACGCTCGGTATTGCAGGAAGCGTCCTCGGCAGCAGGATCCCTGCGGCATCAACGAACAGGCCGCCCGTGACCTTGGTTTCGGAAACAAAGTAAGCGAGGGTCAGCACCTCCAAGATTTCCAGTTCCAGGCATCTGAAAGTAACACGTTGCAGCGCATGACGTCCCATCAAACAGGCCGCAAATGTATCTGCATTGGGTATCCTTGATCGTGGTGTACCCCTCATAGAAACCCAAAGTGCCAGCAACGCATTACCCACCAGGATTATCCAGGACTTGCATGTCTTGGCACATCAACGCTTTAGTAGCAAAGCTTTTGCACGCCAGCCAATTGTTGGCATCTAGTTTAACGACACTACCCACGCCCAATGAAGGTCCAGGTGCCTTTCCTGCGACGATGAGGCAGAATGTGCGCGCGAAACCGATTCGAGCAGGGACAAAGGTGACAACAATCACGTTCCAGCAGCTGGCCTCAACAACTGCTAGCACGGTTGCAGCACTTTGCTACAAGGCCGCTACACGCAGGGCTGTGGCTTCAAACCACAACCGCAGAGCGGTTACATTGCATTCACATGAGGGCATGCAGCCAAAATGACTTGATTGCGGGCCAAGTATCGCTGCCTACAGCTGTCCACATCAAGAAGGTGCTGGTGCTAGAGTCTTCCTGCGATCATGGAGAAGCTTGACATCAAGCGATTCTGACATGAAATGCTCTTAAACAAAGCACTTTGCTGCTGCCAGTGCGACTTTGGACCAGCGACCCTCTTCCAGCCGATGTGCGTTCTGTTAAGCAAGACTTGATATCTGACTTATCCAGCACTAGCAAATGTCCTGGAAGTGGGCATACTCCGATAATTCAACGGCCACCCAAATGGCAATGTTCCCAAGGGAGGCCACAAAGGCAGACCTTGCTTTTGCCAGGGCTTGGCCCATGCAGCGCTTCTAAAAAGCCGTGTCATCAGCGTCTGGCCAAGCCCCGGCGTTCAAGGGCCCAATGAATTCGCGCAAATGGGTCGTCCCAACGGAGCAAAGAACCAAACCTGGGCTACGGAAGGGAAACCCAAGGACAACTATCTTTGTACTTAAATTGCATTGTGCTTGTACTTGTTTTGCGTGCGTTTTTTTTTTTTTTTTT